CTCAATTAGAAAAGAGTCCACATAACAAGAAAAACAAAAACAAGGAGCAGCATAAAGTCCACAGGATTGATGGAGTCCAGACACGTTATTTTCCCATGTTGTTTAGAAATGGTCATGAACATCTCCTACTGATGCCAAAATTCTGAAGGAAAATTCAGGGGAAAATTTTATTTTCTCTTCTACAGAGATTTGAACAGGAAAAGCAACCAAGTTAAGGACTGCAAGGCCAGAATTGAGCTACTTGGAACTTACGATCCGCAGAAACAGCTGATCATTGAAGATCCATACTATGTACGTGTAAGAAATTCTTTGGGTGGTTTGATTAAAAAATGTGTGTGTAGTATAATCTCTCCAGATCCCACAGTTGGCATATGATACATAATCTGATGTTACACAAAGGGAAGTGTAAACTTCTTTTTTAATGACTTAAGAAAACTGTGTATTACTGGGATAGGAAAGGAAAATGTTACTATGCTTGTAACATTTATTGAAATTAAAATAATCCAGTGCACCTGTGTTTTCAGTAGTGGGTGAAACCCTGTTTGATCAGCCTTGTTACAAAGAGGATGTGATCAGGAAAGTTAGAGACAGCTGTTGACACATGTGGTCAAAAAAAGCTGGATAATGTCAGCCAAGAGCAAACAATTAGACTAATATTCTTCAGGTTAGGAAGCAGAAGTGGATGAAGATGCATAAGAGTTCTATGAAATCTTGATATCATTGGGAAAGCTGAATAAGACATTGCTATTAATTACCCAGAAATAGAGAATATGGTGTAGTGGTAAGCACATGGTATTAGTGGGAAGCAGGTGCAAAACAAAAAGAGGTTTGTTTTGGGCTTTTGCTTTCCACACAGTGCTTCATTAAACTGTGAAATTCAACATGACAGGTTAGTGTGAACATAAAAAAGGAAAAGACTTAAAGGGCTCAAAAGTGAGTGGAAGAAATACGTGAAGGAAAGTCATGCAGGACTGTTGAATACAAAGTCACAGAGTTTGTCTATGGAAATTCCTAAGCTCAAATGAGAGAGAAATATGCTGAAGCTATCACCAGGTATTTGCACAGTTTTTATTTTTTCCTAATACCTGTTGTTTGCCATTACTGACAGCAGAGAAACCAGCCTGCAATTTGTATTTGCTCTTCAGCCAGTATTGTTACTCTTACAGTCTTTTTCCTCTCTTCTTTTCTAGGGGAACGAAAAGGACTTTGAAACTGTTTACGAGCAGTGTCTTAGATGCTGTAAAGCATTTTTGGAGAAGTATCATTAATGCTTCATCATATAATTTCTAAAAGAAAATAATTAGCTTCTTCTGAAATATGTAAAGTTTACTTGATTGATGTATTTAAATTGTAAAATTATGCCTCTACATTCAGTACTTACTCAGTTTAATTTTGTATTTTAGCTGTTCTGTCATCTAATGAAAAAATATAGAAAGGTTTTAATTGGATTACATGATCAACCGTTTTGTCACACATCAATGTAGTTATAAAGTATATAATTCAGTATAAATTTTTCTGTAAACTCTTCCAGTGCTTTCTCACAAGCACTGCAAAAGTAACACCTTGCTTCTTTATGTGTAATGCTAACTGAACTGAGGTCTTGTGATTTCACTTGTCCTCAGTGATTTCAGTCAACTTTCAATGGTAGTCTGTGAGATAATAATTGATGTGGACCTTAGGTGTGTCATCCCAGTATCATTGGGCAGCCTTTGGATGGAAGCTGTTTCACGTGGAGCCTGCTAGACTAAAAGATCTGCTGCCTAATAGAACTGGCTAAGTCTTCCTTTAGTCTTCTGGTCAGTTCCTAGCACATGTAACACAGCAAGCACATGTAACACAGCATTTACTTTTAGGAAAAAACATACCAGCTTTAAAGCTGAAATACGAAATCACATTTTATATCTCACAATAGTAAAATACACAAGTCCATGCAATACAATGGATGAGAAATTTGCCTGTAATCCCAGTTCCTACATGAGGTCAGACAGTATTTCCAGATTTACTCAGGAGGATGTACAGCCTGTCAAAAGTGTTCTTTGAGAGTATAGTTCAGTGTAAAGACAGTTTATCTGTAATACAATACTAAGTTAGCAGAAGGCCAGTAAGTAGACAGTTCTGCTCTTGGACAAAATTTGAATGCTTTGTAAAAGTCTATGCCTGCTTTTCTGAACATCACCCTTCCTGTCTGCCTTAGACATGTAAATCTACTGAGATCAGTAATATAAGTGATACCATGATGATTTTCCTGTTTTGAATATTCTCAGCATTGGTATGAACTAGCATTACACATTTTCTGTAAAACTGGATCTATAAAATTTGTTTTCTTATTTAGCCTTGTTTTTGTCTCTTGCTGCCTTCCAAACTTGTAGTCTCTGTACTTGTCGCCTGCTCAACCTTCTGGGAGAGAGATGGATTTCAACAGAAGATCACATTATTCATAGGGAGGTTGGAATCCTGGTGTCACCTCTGTTTGTTGCAGACTTCACAATGGAGATGAAATTTCTTGGGACTTTTGCTGTAGAAGAGATGTGTTTGTGTTAATGAGGTTTCTGTTTTGTGCTAAAATTTCAATCAGACATAAAAGTTGCTTAGAAAAGGCAGATGGTAGAAGGAATACTTAAATACAGAAATCAGAATCTTTGTGCATTATTGCATTACCATCAGTTTTGACTTCTAAAAACAAGCTAGGAATTGCAAGCTAATAGCTGTTTCAGTTATCAGGGACAAAGTTATACACTATTTCAGATCCAATTAATTACTGACTGGAAAAATTATTTTTGCTTTCTTTATTAATGTTTTGACAAAGTAAATGGGGGAAAATGATGGGCAGTTAGGGACAAAACATCCTAAATGTGGTTTGATGCACTAACCTCAAAGATGGAAGTATTTAGGTATAATCTAGTGTTATTCCCTGCTAGAATGACCATTTCAGATATTCCAGTGAAAGTAAACTAACTCAAAAGATTGAGAACATGATGGTTTGTGCTTTCCCATTCATGGCTATGTAGGAATTCAGCCTATAGTTTGCAGCATATTAAAGCTAAGATTGAAAGGTCTTAAATCTTTATCTTTGAGCTGCTGGGGTAACAAAGGAAATAAGAGGATATGGTTGTTTATCTTCACTGGGCTTAGGAATCTTCCTGTAAAGTGATACTAAGTCGAAACTCGTGTTAAATTCAGTTCACATTTTAAAAGTTTCAGCCTTGAGACAGACTTTCAGCAAGCAATCTAGTGACTTAATAATTCACCACCTCTACTACGAAGAATAAGCTGGTTGATTTATTTTTATAATTAGTAGGTTTTCTAATGGAAGAGGGGAAAGAGCACTGGTCTTTTATGCAAATTTGTAGAAGCCCAGAATACAGAACAGGAAGGACAGAATTGCACAGAACAATTATTTGGGTTCAAAGAGAAACAGTTGAAACAAGATTAAGACACAAATCATGTATCATACAGATGACTAAGTGCTCACACATCCAAAATACCACTCATGAAAAATGTAATTTTGAATGAAAAAATAAGAACTGACTCCTGTTTCTCCCTCCCTGCCCCCACAGCTTGTTAAAAGTGGTAAAGTTAAGACTAAAAAAAAAAAAAAATCTGCTATAGTGTAGTATAGGTGTGTTTTCTGTCAGATCATGATGACTTCTGCTAAATCTAGAGAAAACTTCTAGGCGATTAATTTATTTATATTAATTGATTAGATGATGTAAAAGCAAAATAGCAACTTATTAAAGGAGATTTTCTAGAAGGTTTTTGTTTAGCCAGATTTGGGTATCCTACTAGGAAAAGAAAGCTTCACACAATGTTTTAAACTCCCATGTTAAGTGTTAGCCTGTGCTCTGGTCAGTGGAACCACAGTGAAGCACAGAGTTCCACCCACGTTTACTGCAGATGAGCAGCTTTAGTGAATCCCACAGAAGGTGATTCCTTTAACAACCCTATTTTCTGCAGGCATGTATTGCATCCACTGAGACATGGAACTTAGCATTTAATCATCACTGAAAGCAAATAAAATATGTACTTTTCCCCTGCTAAATACAGCCACGTTTCAGGATGGGATTTTGTCTTCTGCCATTTCTTCTTCTGAAGAGTTGGATTCTGAAGGCTCTGAAGTGTCAGTTCCCAAAATCTCAGCTCCTATCATTCTCAGGGTGGGGAGGGTCACATTTGGTTTTGGTTTTACATTTTGTGGTTCAAACTGAGGATAGAATGGAAACTATAAAGGCCAGTATTAAAAGTGGTTCATTGTAATAGGTTGGCCCTGGCTGGATGCCAGGCACCCACAAGAACCTCTTTCTTGCTTCCCTCTGCAACTGGACAGGGGACAGAAAATAAAATGAAGGGTTCATGGGTTGAGATAAGAAATGTGACAGGTCACTCACTGAATAGTGTCATGGGCAATGCAGACTGAAGCTGGAGATTTTTACTGAAATTATTACTAACAAATTCAGAGGAAGGTAATGAGAAGTAAAATAAGACCTTAAAAATGTTTTTCCCCAACTCCTCCTTCCAGATCTTCCTCCTCCCCCAGCAGTGAAGGAAGATGAGAATGGCAGTTACAGTCAGTTGATCCCAGGTTGTTTCTGAATCCTTCCCCTACTGCAACATGGGTCCCTCCCACTGGAAATAGTTCTCTATGAACTTCTCCAACTTCTCTATCCCACAGGCACCAGTCCCCCCCAAACTGCTGCAGTGTGGAGAAGCAGTCCCTCAGGCACAGGCTGCTCCAGCCGGGGTCCCCCACAGGGTCACAAGTCCCACTGCAAACCTGCTCCAGTGTGGGCTCCTCTCCACAGGTCTGCAGGTCCCTGCCAGGACCCTGCTCCAGCACGGGCCTCCCACACGGTCACAGCCTCCTCTCAGGCATCCACCTGCTCCAGTGTGGGTCTCCTCCATGGGCTGCAGGTGGATCTCTGCATCCCTGTGGATCCCCATGGGCTGCAGGGGCACAGCTGCCTCACCATGGGCTGCCCCACGGGCTGCAGGGGAATCTCAGCTCTGGTGCCTGGAGCAGCTCCTGCCCCTCCTTCTGCACTGACCCTGGTGTCTGCAGGGCTGTTCCTCTCATGTTCTCACCCTGCTCTTCTCTGGCTGCAATTACAACTGTGCAGTAACTTTTCCCTTTTCGACTGTGTTATCCCGTAGGTGTTACCATTTCTAATTGGCCAGGGGCATGTCCATCCTGGAGCTGTCTGGCATTGGCTCTGCTGGAGATGGAGGAAGCTTCTGGCAGCTGCTCCCGGTAGCCCCTGTAGCCCCTCCACTACCAAAACCTGGCCATGCAAATCCAATACATGGATTTATAGGTTGCACATAAAATTTTTCTTCCTGTTTGAGCAATTTTACTGTGACAACTGGATTTCATATCTGATTTAAGGAAGAAAGGGAAATGTATGTCAAAGTTTTTGGAGTAACACTAACTCCTTAAAAATTCTACAAGACTAAAATGATTTCCTGGATATTTTCTGATTAGATTGCTTTGCAGTATCATGAACAGACTGCACATTATTAGAAAACAAACAAAAAGCCCCTCCCCAAACCAAAGCCAAAACCCAAAAAAAAAAAAAAACCCTCAAAACATCTGTTAGTCTTAAAAAATACTCCATTTCATAAAACTGTAGAGAACTTGAGCAGCCTTGTAGTCTGGGCATTCTGTGGGCTTGAAACACACAGATCTATCCATCCTCATAAATCCAGGATGCCCAGGTTACTGAACTCTGAAGTGAGTACACCTTTCCTTCTTCCACAAGAGAATTCTTTGTGGAAAGAGATTTAAGTGTGGATAAATGATAGTAGCTACCAGAAGGTAGCTACTTTTTACCTGCATTTGTTTACCTGCATTCAGTGACCAGAAAGCAAACTAAGAACAACTTAATACCAAACACTTTATTACTTATGCTTGTTATTTACAGTATTTACATATTGCACGTTCGCTGGAATGTTTTATACATTTATTATATAAAGAAAATTAATGGCAGCTTGTGTTTGTGTACAAAATCCATGCTCCACTGTCCAAAAAGTATGTCTACTTGGAATAACATTCCTGTTTGTCATGCAGTTTGTACGCCAGGGTACAATGTGACCCCAATGCAAGTCTGTTTTAACCAAACTTTTAAAAAATTGCATAAGCATGAAGGATATCAAGTGACCACAACTACTGTGGAGCAGATCTTTAGTAGTTCTAGATATACAAACAAACATTCCTTAAAACTGTAGAATTAAGCAATAGAACATGAATTTTCTTGGTGAAATATTTGTGTTTACATAATTTTTGGCAGCATTACACATCAATTGTAGTGTGTTTTTAAGTATGGAGCATTAAGTACTACTGGCAGTTATGCTACTGTAAAGAATGTCAATCTGCAAACTGTCGATGACATACAAAACACATGTTAAAAGAATTATGGGAAGTAGTCTGTCAATCTGCAAAAATAAATCTCTTGTTCACAATGGAATTCGCTAAAAGGTAGTAAGTTCTGTTTCCCTGTTGGTTTCCAAGGCACTTCTCTTGGTTCTTGGTGTTCCTTGTCGTGGTAATAACATCTGGTGGATTAAAAGAAAGAAGAAATTGCCTTTCATCATTTTTATACTCACATACATGTGTTTGAGAATGTGTTTATCATTGTGAAAATAGTAAATAAAACTGGACAATTCAGTAATAACTTTGGAAAGATCAGTAGTGAATTTTAGATGTACCTTAGTTCGTATCAGCCTGACTGTAACATTAGCGCTTTCTTAATCAAGGCTAAAAATCTGGAAAGCATAATTTTTTATGATGGTTCATTTCTGATAGACACTAGGAAAATCCAGTTCTACATATCAAAAATGTGCTCATAGTTAATCTGTTCCAATGACTGCATCTGTGAAGTCAAGAAGTGAATAAACCTCAGGAATAGCATTAACAGATTGCAAAATGCTGTCTAAATGCCTTGGTGTCAGGAGCTGTTCATGGCGTGTCCAGTTTGACGGATCTAGTAGGAAGGATTTGATGTTTCGTTGGGCCCTTTTGTGAAGCAACTTGGATTCATATGAACAAGAAACAAACAGAAGTGACTTTTTAAGAGTCGGTTGTATAACTATAGCCCCTAGAACACTTCAGTGTGGTGGCCAACACTGAGCCACCACAAACTAAGCAGGAGCTGCAGTAGTTCAATTTGCTGCCTGAAGTCTTCCAGAAGAGTGTCTTGGAATGAAATCACAATCATGCCTATGACACTGATATCAAAATCACCAATACAAAATTACAGGTTTCCACATTGCTTATGTGTTTTGTCTGTATTCTAGAAATATTGATTCCAAAGTTGAGCAATGAAGGTTTTCACAACCTTACTCTGCCGCACCTTTAAAGCTTGTAAGAAAATGCAGTGTAACTGCACATACGCATATCTGGAAGTCTATCCTCTTCTACACAGGTAAGCGCTGAATGTTGCAAGTCTGTCACCCAGTTTCAAGTGTTTCTGTGCCTGTTCTTGTTCTTATTTAGAAATAAAAAATGTACAATGTTTTTTCAGTCAGGAGGAACTACACAGCTGAAAGACTCTTACATGCAAACAGACCCAGATGAAGCTTTGGTGTCTTACAGCCATCATGGGGGAGATAAAAAACGGTGATAATCTGATACTAGAATTCTGATGATGATATTTTTCACAGTTAAAACTTTCATATTGTCTGTCTGAACAGGTAACTGTCTTCCCCATGATCAGTGTGAATTCTCTGATACTCTGAGCTTCTCTACATTTTCTACTGCTTAAGTATAATTTGTAATGGAATCATTTGTATGCGAAGTCAGTTGGACTTGACATAATCCATTAAAAATCAAGCTATTGGTGCATACAGAAATACTTGTTAGTAGTATTTAAACATTTAGTTTTGCAATTTTTGAAAGCTATTTAGGAAATGTAATAATGTTACAGAAAATCTTAATGTAATCTAGGGGTTTTTTCCTGGCTTTGCAGATAGGACAATTACTTCTATTTTTTTTTTTTAATATCCTTTCTTAGAGGGGGAAACTGATGTAAATTTTCCATGTCTTCCATTTTCATCTAGCTTATTTTCTGTATGTATGCTCCTACTGTACCCTATTTAAGCTATGATGTTAAAAAGTGATGTTTAGAAGAAATTAACATGCTTTTGGTGTGATCAGTGTGTGGTACAATCTACAAATTGAACACTGAAAATGCAATAAAAACTTTTTTCATTACTAATGGGAATATGCAGCTCACTGGGTGAGTTAAGATGCTCATTTGTCATCTCATCTACACCTCCTTTGGTATGGGTAACTTGACAGTTTTATATCAGCTAACTCACAGTTCTCTAAACCCCTGGCATTTTCAGAAACCCTTCAACAGAGCCCAGGTTTTTAGCATTGACAAATCTGTTCTACTGCTTTTTTTTTTTTTAAATTTCATAGTCTGTTATATGCATCAGTCTAGGACTTATTAGGCTGGAACTCAGCTGAAGGATGATGGATAGTCTTAGTGGAGATCCTGAATGCCATTTGACTACAGCTTCTGGTGAGAACATAGGTAACTATACAACTCCCCAGCCAACTGTGCTAATTTTTAAAAGCACAAATGAAAGCTAGTGTAAAGTATATTACAGCTTTCCATAGTTGATTCTGGTTATTACCTGTGCATGATGATAAACTCTGTAAGAAAAAGCTAATCTATATGAGAAGAATTTAGTGGTTTAAACATCAATATAAACTTTAAAATACTGTCCCAGTAGGATTTTATAGCAGAATCTCCTCATACTTACATATAAAAAATTCTTTTCCCAAGTGTGCACACCCAGATGGAATTCTGCTATGATGTGATCACAGAGATCCATGCACTGAAGATTATGAAGCTCTGGATGTTCCATCTGATACTAGCCACAGACATCTCTCAGCAAGGAAAACTGTGAGCTGCCTTTTAATAAACCTGGATGATGCCATACTAGTAACCATGCACACTGGCTGCCTTTTTAACTCAAAGCAGTAGTTCTGAGAAAAGTCTTAAATTAGTTTACTTGGGAACCAATTCCTGGCATCATGAAGAGGTGACTGAACATGCCCTGAGCAGCTGTATAAAACAGATCAAGCCATACTTTCTAGAAAAAAACAGGCCTTCACTGAATACACAATCCTCTTACCTTAATTTCACCTTCACTTTTATGGAATTCAAGTGTCTGACATTTCAATGCACTCCATGTTACTCTGAGAAATCAGCAGTCTAAGGGAGAATTCAACTAAGGGCTGTTGTTTCCATTGTTACAAAATACTTGAAGCAAAATTCAAGTGCCCAGATATATTGGTTTAAGAATAATTTGAAAAATTTGATATACAATATGGTGTATAGGAATGGGATATTTAGTGGAGTATTTTAAGTTTCCTACTTTATCTTGTATTTTCAGCATTTGTCCCATACATTACTAGTATGGTCAATACATCTTGAGGAGTTTACACAGATTTTTCGGAGTTCCAAAGGAAATTTCAGTTTTAAGCTTATTACAAATTTTGCAACGAGTATTTGACCTGTATGTACAAATATTAATTATTTGCATCTGCATCTTAAGGGAGCAAGTAACTGGTAGATGTCTTTAATACACTTTTTATAATATATAAACCTTATTTTCTCTGCATAGCCTGTAACTCCAACTACTTGCACCAGTCCTGTATTTATTAGTGTAAATGTATGTCATTAGTTTTACTTTGTTTATTTGAAATAACTGTAGATGCTTTAAAAGTTTTTAAAACCCCAATAATATTTGTCAGTACAGAAATTAGACAAAATCTTCAAAACAGAAGTATGTAGTAAGATGTGATAATGCAGCCCTTAGTCCCTGAACTTCTCCTCATAGTGCAAGGAGTTTTCAATTTAAGTTATGAGATCAGTGTTGGCCTCTAGCAAACACGTATTGAACAGGTAAAGGAAAAGGGTTGGAGCACCAACAGTAGCACCTGAAGTTTTCAAACAGAAGCAGTAAAATCTGTATGACGGTAGCCAAAGTGGCTGTGACCAAAGCTGTCAAAGGGGTTTTCAGATTCATCACTGTCTGTCACCAGAATTGCTCATGATCTGAATTGTGAACTTTATTTAGGTGAAGACTTCGGGAACTGTGCTCCTGGCATCTCTTACCTACTGCAGATATGGACAACCTAACAGTTGTGGGATGTATCTGCGTGGAGTGGAGCAAAGCAAGCATGCAACATGGGAACTATTAGGGAGCTGGCAGAAGAAGGAGGCTGAAGAACAGAACAAAACAAAGAAGCATCAAGGACAGGACTCTAGCATAGCCGTATTGACCATGAAAAGGGGTTACAGAATAAAATTAATTAGAGATGGTGCTGGTCGCAGCCAGGGAATACAGCCTTGGAGGCTGACTGGAAAAAAAAAAGAACTACTGGGAGATGTGATAATACAAATCTGCTGCTCTGGCTTCATTCATGCTATCTCAACAAGCTGAAGAACTATTACTGGGTCCTTGCATTGCTTATCTCTGTAGGACAGGCAGAAAGGGAACATACACTCTAAAACAAGGAGAAGATGGAGCTCAGGATACATGAGAAAAAGTTAAAGCTCCACAAGACATGTCGCACCATAAACATACAAGTGCCCACGTAGGTATGTGCTGTCACAGTAATATGTCTAACTCCTGTTTTCACATATTATTTTCTTCTTTGATCTTAGCTCTGAGTTTCAATGTCTTGTGTGTTTTAAAGCGCTGCTAGTCCAAAAGGCACTGAAAGTACAAATAAAAATAAATTTTTATTTTTCCTTCTCTCCAAACTGATCTCTAAACACGGATAGATGTCCACAGATCTGAAAAATCCAACAAAAGTACTCATTTACCAAAGTAATAGTCTAACTATAGCCCAACCCTCTTATAAACGTGCAATGAAACAAAATTCAGATACTGAACAAAACAGGAAACCTAATTTGTTTCACACAAATTGAACTGGTGCAGTGGAAAAGCCTTGAGGAGAAAAGAGGCTTAATCAGACACCTGTGCATCTCCAGATGCATGTGGCAGAGGACAGTCTTTCCTTTCTGCTACGTGAGGCTGCTTAAGGAGTTTACCACCACTGATTTGTGTCTGTGTGAATAAAAGAAGTGGACAGTTGTTGTTGACATTGAAATATGCTGAGCAAAGGTTGTTTGAGAAAAGGATTATTTTTAAATAGACTCCCAGCTTGAGATGTGAACTACTTTAGATGCTATTCCTTCATATTACAATCTCATGTTTACATGGTAGGTTGTTAAGATATGGATAAAATTTTCTAAAGAAAGGGAGGAAATAATTTCACACTCTGATGTATCTGCTTGTTAGTATTGGTAATAATATTATTCACCTATTTGCAAAGTTAAACAAATTAATGACTTGTAGAAACTTTCTTGAAATTGAATAGCTCCATCAGGTTTTCCTGCAGTCATGTTTCCTTTAGATTAAATAATCCTAATTCCTGTAATTGTTCTTGTACACTGAGTTTTCTAAGCCTTTGGCCATGCACGTTGCTCTTCTTTGGACTCATACAAGAAGAACCTGTATGTCTTCAAGTGTGGTGCCCTTACTTAAATACAGTACTCCAATAACAGTAATTGTGTCAGGAGTTTCATAAACAATGATTGTACTTATACATTCCAGTATTGTTTGACTTTCAAGTGTAACACTGCTGACTTGCTTAGTTTGCAGTCCACAACAACCTCTTGTTTTCAACAGCACTATCTAACTATACACCAAATTCCATGTATTTCTGCAGTCGAATAATCCTACAGGACTTCATAATTCTTTATCTGTTATCCTGGTTTTAGACTATTTGGCTTATTTTCCAAGATTGTTTTTAATTTCAAGGTTGTACTGTATCATGGTTGCTTGTCCTGTAATACTGAAATACATGAATACAGTATTCCACCACCCAAGTTATTAATGAAAATACTGAACAATATACTGAACAATATCAAACCCATAATGAAGCTGTGTGACATTGGTCAGTACATTTTTCCAGTTTTGACAATGAAGCACTAATAACTTATGTATCTTTTTCCAGTCATTTTTACATTTATCTTGATCCTATTTCCACAGCTTGCTTGTGAGAATGAAGTGGAAAACAGTGCCAATGCTTAAAATAAAATAAAATAAAATGCTTAATATTTATTACTTTTCTCACAGATTCCTTCCACAAGATGTGTATTTTGTCACAGAGTTAAAGCATCTTGGTTTGACAGCATTTGTTACTGACAAATCTACATGGTTAATATTTATCCCTTTGTCCAAGATCACATTTTGTCTCAGGTAAAGGTTGAGGACAGAACATAAATTAGTCCTTCATGTTACAGTTCTCTACAGATAGTTTGGGAGTAATTTTTTGTTTGGTTGATTGCCTTTTGTTTTTGTTTTGGTGCATGATGAAATTTCCCAAGTATTTGTGGGAAATGGAGGCCCATCTAGGCAAAGAAGGAGAGAATTAACCTCTAGACATGAGAGGTGTACACAAGGAAATTCCAAAAAATCCAAATAGCTGGAAGATAGTTTATCAATGCTACTATCAATACCTTTTAACTGAATTACTGTAAAAGCACCTGTGACCTATCTGCATTTAAGAAGCTTTGATGTGTATAGCTATGTATATATTAACTCATACTACTGAGTACAGCACAGATCTACAGCTGCACACATAAAAGGGTGGCTGCTGCTGCCAATACAGGCAATTGTGTACTGAGTAAACTCTTGAAAAATAAGCCACAGCTGCTGTGTTTTTCTGTAACAACAAATTCACTATCTGCTAACTGTATGCTGCTATAAATAATTCACAGATGATGCACATGGACATTTATGTAATGACTTCCAGTAGGGGGTACCCTTTCCTTAATGCCAAAATTTGCCAGATTAAGCCAGTTACTTCAAGTCCTCAGGAAGGGGAATACCTTATCTAAAGGACAGTTGTTATTACACTCCCATGAATTTTCATGTATGAAATACAACAGTTGCTGCTTTGCTATGCAGTGGAATGTCATTTCTGCTACAAAAAAGCTTACCTTTATCCTTCCATGCACATAGGGCTTACTGCCAATCGAGTAAGAAGCCTGGCACATCTTTTATAGTCTGTATGAAAAAAAAATGCATGACTAGATTACCAAAGTAATCAAATTTGCCTTTAAAAATCAAAATTATTTTCAGTGTGCAAATAGTGTCATAGCAAGTTCAATGAATACCTTCGTTTGCAACAGAATAAAAATCAACTCCTTTGACTTAAAAGGGGAATGTGTAAAAATTAGGTAATAACTAAAAGCCATGTCTAATGGCACGTCTAAGTATGCAACTGACTTCTGCACATGTTCTATCTGTAAACAAACAGCACGAAAGTGCTTGGAGGCTCTCCAAGTGTATGTATGTAAGTATAAAAATTTATACATCTGTGCCTGTGCTTCCGTGCAGGATCTAAACATGTGACTCTAGTATTTCCATATTAGAGAAAGAATAAATAGTGCTCATCCACCTTTGAAATCCAGCCTTCAATGAGCAAGTCTGTCAATTATTATTAAGTAATGCCACTCTCCAACAGATTTTCTTCCTGGGAACATTGTTAAATTAGATAAATAACATCTTCTATGCATACAAATCTTAAGTCCAGCCCAAGTGGATGACCACATCATAAGAATTCATAGGAGTATGAAGTTTCATCTTAAAACTAAAAATGTTTTTTCCACAGAAGTCCTATTGTTAGTCGTTCATATTTTAGATGCCTTCAACTTTTTGATGCATTCATAGTAAGACACAGAACCAATGCAAAACTACAGAAATTATTCAAAAAGGTTTTTGTTTTTTTTTTCATTTGCATGAAAAACTGAAAGCAAATATTGTGAAAGTTGGTTATGGACAGACAGAAAATAAATTATTTTTCAGATACCAATGCTACTACACTGTACAAAGTACTAGAAGGTATGCTAACACTATGCTTTTGTACTGGCTACCACCACACTTGAAGCATCACAGACACTTCCGCTTCTTTGCTGTTTGGCCTTCAGATCTCTACACACAAGGAACAGTATAAATTGAAATCAGGACATTATCAAAAAGTAACATCATTCTGTGCATGAAGAATTAAAGAAGGCTGTTTGTCTCATTTTCCTACAAGAAAGTTACTTAAAAGAGATGCTAGTCAATCCAGCCCAGTAGGTGATGCTCACTTCTGTTAGGCATTATTTCATTGATGAGTAACTACATCTAATGTGTTCTGGAAATGAAATGTTAACAATCCCAACTCACAGCATAGTTATGGTATAATTGCCACTCGTACAAATGATCCTCCATTATCCAGACATTATGTTGGTGGATATGTCTCCTGTCAGGAGGAAAAGGCTAATTTAAGGGCAACTAGTTTTTAGCTTCACAGCTTGGAGTACTCATTAGTGCTGAGCCAAATGACATTTGTGTTGTGATCCTTATGAAAAAGGTAATATGACCATTGCTTGTTCAGAACAGACAAGTTATGAACAACTTACATCTCCACCCATGAAAACAGAGGGTTATCTGGTTACCTGTCATCTAGAAATCCTTGCCCTTCCAAGGACTTCCTAAAGTGAAGCCTTTCAAATGGAGAAAATGTGCACAATTCTTACCAAATATGCCTTTAAAATGCACTGGGCTGAAATATTTATTAATACTAGAAACTTGGAATCTGTAACTCTTGTTTCTATTCCCAGCTCTGCTACTGACCCAACTGGTTGACCTCAGACAAGTAAAATAAAGTGTGCTTCCATTCTGAAAAGGCTGTACTAAAATAGCATCTGCTTACTCAACAGGTCCACCTCAGTACGAATCTGGAGTCACCATCTACTGACTGATAAATGTCAGTGTTTGATTTTTATTTAGTTCTCTGTGCTGCCAACAGTGATGAGGTATCATAAGTGGCTTTTGCTTAGTTGTGTCCATCAGCACTTTTTTTTTTCTAAGCTAACAAGTTATACTTTTATAATTCACTGAAGACAAGTGTTGCAAAGATTCATTGTCAACATCACTGGTAGACTGGTAGCTGAATAGTCAAAATAGAAAATGTCTACAAAATGTGTCCTGCATAAATAATCAATGAAAAGTAAAATAACCCCACCGGGATTTGTGATCCTGTCTTGAATATACAGCACTAAAAATTAAATATGAGATATTTGTGAGAGGAAAAGCAAACACATGGTTTGGAACCCATGAGGCAAATACATCAGTACCTAAGGATGTAGTGTTTACAGCCATTCTACACAGTGTATTTGCAATGAGAAAGTTTTATTTCAATTTTCATCTCTCTAATGCTGATGCTGTTCTAGCAAAGCTGTAGAGAATACTTAGAATTCATTCCCTGCAAAGAAAAATATGGACTGCTCTAAAATATACTGACATTGTATCACTACTGATACTTGATAGGACTAATAAATTTTAGAGTTTCCTCTCATTTTAGGGAAGTGCCTGCTTTTGTTACTTACATGCTGGGATGGTACAATCCCTCGTATTGTGATAAAGCCGATGAAAGTGTTTGCTACATTTTGGACTAAAGTACAGTGGACCTGGAAGAGAAAGAAAAAAATAAGTTATGAATCAGCACAGCTCACAAGCAGAGCAGTGTAGCTGATGGTAGTATGTGAAATATGGATACCAATGCAAAATTAAAACATACCTGTTAAATGCTTCAAGAACTTGTCTTTCATCCTCAGATCTCTGGGAACTATTTCTGTGGGACAGAGAAAAGAACAGTGTTACTCTGCTGCACTGGACTTCATACTGCTTGCCAAGCATAGTATGAAGACAGGGAATACTCTGTCCAGCAACATCACCAAGTATGTCTTGACAGGTGCATGGAGGGCAAAAGACCTTTGAATACAGTAGGCCAAATTGCAAGCAGTCACTTTACATAGGGAGACCTCGTAAAATGCTCTGTGAAACACAGCACTGATGGAACAATGTCTGTAAGGTGAGAAATCATTAATGACAATGGTTATTAACTAAGAGTGTGATTTCAGCTCTCTATGAACTGCGTTACCAAGTTTACCTAGATTTAAATTCTTTCATATTACATGAGTAATAAAGACTCAATTATATATTCCAGTCTGATATATTAGGTTGTGTCTCCTAATTCTCTTATGCAAATGTAGCCACTATTCTGTCCCAGGTATGTCTGTAGAAGCACTGCTCTTCTGTAATCATGAAACCGGATTGATCTACTTACAGGAATCTTCCCTCCCTCCCCCAGCAGTAAATAAAATTCACAGGAAATTATTCCAAGCAAATTGCTCTCTTCTGGCTCCCTATGTTTGTGGTTTACCGCCTTGTGTTTTGTGTTCAGCAGATGGCAAAATGAAACTAGTTTACTGAAATCCATTTTAGCCCTAACCCCTGCTTGTGACTTCCTGATTTACAGCTATCTTTGATTGCTTTCCGTTACAAAGTCTATGCTGATGGCTTAGTGCTGATTGTGTACGATACACTATATGGTGCTTTATTTACTTGACCATGAATGCCTGAGCAGCCTTTTTCATTCCCCTGGCACCTCTTATCAGATATAAAGCAGAGAGCATTTCCATCCAGATCCGATTCACTTGTGAATTTAGACACTTCTCGAAAGTCATTCTTCATTTACTTCTAACTTTAGTCGGTGTAAGTAAAATTGACCTTATCCTATTTGACCTAATTATGTCATGAAGAGCATTAAAAACACACATGCTTCACTCAGAAACTTCCCATGGGACAAGTTCACTAGGAAAGTGATGCCAAAACTGAAATTAAAGACTCTAACTAGTGGTTCCTTTTCAGAGTTGCAGGAAAAACTCCATCATAATAACAGAATGAAAAATCCTGCTTTGAAATCATTAACAACACTACCAACTAATCTGCTCTGAAGCAGGATTATTAATTTTGTAGATAACTGCTCTACACAAGCCAGATGCTTCGCACCAACAGGGTGCGAACAGGGTGACCAAACCATGTTCCAAGATGAGATTTAGAGTTGTGCACATCACAGTTCTCTGCTTAATCTGGCCTCTTTGACTCTTCAACATTTGTAAAGCAAAATGTTCTCTCCTGTGTTGACCCTAAGGAGAACAGAATTGTCCTCCTCTGTGCATTCACTAATCATCCAAATAGAGAAGCAACATCTTCATGACAACCACCAATAAATGCAAATTATGAGGATATATCAGTATGAATAAGAATGACAAAAAGGTACAATAAAGCTTTAAAAGATCAATAAAGACAAAATAAATAGCATACTATCAAAATAAAAACCAGTTTGGGAAAAGTTGAGTAGATATTTGCTGGAAAATATTCAGAAAGTCACTTTCAGTTGGAGGGGTCAGATGAGCAGCAGTAACACTGCAGGGGCTTGGGAGTGACAGAGAACACTAAATTAGACACGGCAGCAGGAGGAACTAAATCAAGTTTCAACTGAGTGCACAGAAGTACATCACCAAACTAAGCAGGTTAGAAAGGAGCCAATCAAACGAGCAGAAGGGTGACCGCAGGAGTGTCCCAAGCTGGTCACAGCCTGCACAGTGACAGAGGAGTACTATCTCAGTTCCCTAGTATTTCAAAGGTGCTACTTCTGGAGTACAAAAGAAACTACAAGCAGGGTGAACAACTCAGTTCAGTGAAGCTGAGCTGCAGGGAAGACTTTCTGTATGTAAGGTCTTTAAGGACATACTAAAGTCCTGCAGGAGAATTCTTGCTAGGGTCATTTCCAAGAAACACTTAAACCAAGCACATGATAGTAAGTGGTAACCTTCCAGGAAAAAGCGTTTTAATCCCTTGTTTCTTTGATCTCAGCCCATTTAGGTCTTTTCCCATATTATTAGGTTTTGTTTAAAGCCACAGGAAGTTGGACTTTCAGTTGAGTTCATTATCCAGAGAGTAAAAGGCTCTGAGAGGTGAATGGAGGTTTTCTATTCCAAATTTGCCATTTGTGTCTGTTTCTAATACCAAAGGGAATCTGCAGGTATTTCGAGTGGTGAATTCTTAATACTAAATTAGTAACCTGATGCACTATCTCATTCACCGAGGCACCCTAGGAAAACAAAAATGGACTGTGACTTACCAACTCTCTGCTCGTCCTGGTACCCTCCATAATCAGCCACTTCCCTTCGATCCAAGTTATAGTCATGCTTGGAGAAGTACTGCATCCCACTGTCCTTCTCCAGGTGGTACCTTTTCAATTCCTGAATGATCTCCATGATGAGATTTAAGAGACTTTGCTTGTCTTTCAGATCTGCGGAGTCTGTTTTTTCTTTGCAGTATCCTGCTGAGAGCATTAAGAGTACAAGCCCCAGCAGCCCAGAAGACCTCAGTCCACTCATTGCAGTCCGACCTGAAGAGTGCATGAGGGGATGAAGAGGAAGAATCCGCTGCTGTGTGAGGTCTCCTGTTTCACTGGAAGAGAAAATTGGGGGTGGGTCGAAAGTGGGGAGACTCGTGGGGGTGGAATCGGAAACACTAGCGGCGGAAAGAGCGGCGACCGCTTAGCAGGTTACACAAGGAGGGGCACAGTCCGCTCCGGGCTGCGGGGGCTGGCGGAGCGGGACGGGGCATGGGGTCGGCGGGGCTCCGCCGCTGCCCCCGCGCCCCACAGCGCCCGCCCCGCGGGCAGAGCGGTTCGGCCTCCCCGCAGCCGGCGCCGGGCCCCGCGGAGGGCGGGGGCGCAGCCCCGGAGCGGGGCCAGGCTGGGGGTGCCCCGGCGGAGCGGATCCCTGGCCGGGACGGGCGTTCCGCCCCGCCTCTCCCCGCCCCGCCGCGGAGCGGAGGAGCACGGGTGAGGGGCGACAACTTTCCCCGAAGTTTCTGCTGGAGAGCCGCGACAGCTGTCCCCGCTCTCGCTGCGGGCCTCCGCGCCTGGGCTGCGGGCGGGAGCGGCGGGACGGGACGGGAGGTGCGCGGCTGGGGGGCAACCGGGGCAGGGGACAGCACCCCTTTTTCTGTCCCTTTCCCCGTTCCCCTTCCCTGCAGGAACAGCGGTCAGCATCATGCCCGGAGCCGCTCGCTTTCGGACGACTGACCGCGCCTCACACACGGCCGCTCCGTGCGGCGGCTCTGCGCTGCCAGCCCTGGCCGCTCCCGCCCGCGGGCTGTCACCGGTCCCGCCGCACGCAGCGCTTCGGCCCTGCGGGACGGGAGGGATGGGGGCGTGCGGAGGGAGACAGAGGGGAAGGAGGCTGCTGGTGCTCGTCGACCGCTTTACCTGTGTCCCCGTCCCAGACGCCGAGGTGTCTTCCCCCCGGGAGCCGCTCCCCAGACGGCAGCAGCCCACGAACGGCAGGGAGTCCGAGTATTCCGCGGCTGGCCCGCCCGCCCCCCTCCCGTCCCTGCGCTCCCGTCGTATCCACAAACTACTCCATCGCCGCCAGCCCCAGCGCAGCCGCTTATATAGGCTATAGGATGGACATGAGACGGCAGATAGTATCGACTTGGAAGTGGGTGGAAAACAATAAAAGTCCACTTGGCAACCTCGGGAGCGTCGCTGCTTGCACAAGCCCCCCCCTTCCCGCCCTCTCTCCCCTCCCGCCCCGGTCCCCCCGTCCCTCCCCCTGCTCGGTTCTCCCGGGCAGGGCTCAGTCACTCCTTCGCTGCTCTCCGACGTAAGGAGACAGTCCCAAGTGTGTGTGTTTGGAGTGGGAGGGGGCGGCGGCGGGAAGATGGGGACGGGGGAGGGGGCGCGCATCGCTCGAGCCTTTAATTAGAACCGCGCTGAGAGGCCACTGAAATATTGATGTCCCTGGCGCAGCTCTCGTCAGCGGGTCCCCGGCCCGCGGCCGCAGCCCCGCGGGGGGCGGGCGGGGAAGCCGCCTGTTTACCGGGAACTCCGGGCCCGGCTGCGGCGGGGAAGGGGAGGTGTTGGGGCGGGGGCGAGCTGCCTGGGAAGAGGAAGGCTATTTCTGCTCCCGTCGGCCGGGAAGCCCGCGGAGAGGCGGCTGGAGTGGGTCTGGTAGCGGGAGGGAGCGGGAGTGCTGCCTCTTTCGCCGATTCTTGGCACGGGCGGTCCCGGGTGGCGAGGCGGCTTCCTGGGCTCCTGGCGTGCCGCTGCCTGGAAGCGCTCCGAGCGGGGCCGGGAGAGGAGGAGGAGGAAGAGGAGGAGGACGACGAAGGCAGTGCCATCGCCGGGAGCGCCCTGTCCGCTCCCGCAGCTGCCCTCGACAGAGGTGACAGCCTGAGGGAAGGGCACTGAAAGCGCGGGGCAGTCTGCGGAGAGCGCCGAGCCCCCTCCAACGAGCGCCTTCCCCCAGAGCACACACAGGCTGCCGCCCTCCCCACGTAGCCCCTCGGGGCGCGGCGCGGGGAGGCTGAAACCCGATCCGGCGGAACTCGGTGTTTACTCTCCTGCGTGGATGAACCTGTCCCTCGGCAGGCGCGGACGAGGAGCTCCCCCGGGGCCGGGCGCGCTCTCCGACCCCGCGGGCGCCTCTCGTGGCCGCGCGCCCTGGGCTGCCGGCGCGCCGCGGGAGCAGCGCCC